GGAGGGACAGCACCAGCACCCGCAGGGGCAGCACCAGCACCAGTAGCAGCTCCAGCTCCAGAACCCCCAGCAGCACCAGTAGTACCCCCAGCAGGACCGCCTCCAGGACTGACAGCAGTAGCCTACGCGCCAACACCCGCAGCAACTCCAGCTCCAGAAGTAACCGCAGGTCCAGCAGCTCCAGTACTCCCAGTATGAGCACCTCCGGGACCCGTGGCACAAGCTCCCTCAGAAGCAACAGAACCTCCAGTACCCGCAGCACCTCCAGCTCCAGCAGCTCCAGCAGCTCGCCTCCAGCGCCGGGCAAACCACTCACGCAGCTCTTGGGGAGAGAGTGGCTCTCTGCGAGAGGGAGCACCCGGTGAACCGCCAGGCACAGCACCACCAGGCGTAGCACCCCCAGGCTCAGCACCTCCAGGCGTAGTACCCCCAGGCTCAGCACCCTCAGATGCAGCACCCCCAGGCTCAGCACCTCCAGGCGTAGTACCCCCAGGCTCAGCACCCCCAGTCGTAGTACCCCCAGACTCAGCACCCCCAGGCTCAGCACCCCCAGGCTCAGCACCCCCAGGCGTAGCACCCACACGCTCAGCACCCCCAGAGTCAGCACCCCCAGGCTCAGCACCCTCAGCAGCACCAGAGTCACCAGCGACCTCGACAGGCTCAACAGCGTCTACCTGGGACACACCTGAAGGGGCAGGACCCTGAGGGGGGAGGGGGTCTACCGGGGGGGGACCTGGTACAAGGAAGAGCGGTGGCGGGGGGAGGGACGGAGTGCGGTAGGGGAAGAGGCGGTAGTAGGGGACCGACTCGTCGAACGTGACGTCCTGGGAGGACAGAACACGGCGAGAGGTGGGGTGGTAGAACTGCCACCCTGGGGCGTCAGGGGGGAAACCCAGGAAGACGCAAGGAGCAGCACGAGGGGACAGCTTGTCCGCAGACAAGTCGCGGACAAACGCCCGAGATCCCCAGACACGGAACGCAGACGCATCGCCAACCTTCCCCGTCCACAGCAAAGCTGGGGAGGTCTCCGGCATGGAGACCCTGGGCTGAAGGTTGATCTGATGCGCCGCGTACCGAACCGCAAACGGCCACAGAAAATGGGGGGCAGCCGCATGCATCATGGACGTACGGGCGACGTCCATGACCATGCCAATGCGGCGCTCAGCAATCCCATTTTGCTGTGGAGAGTCCGGAAGCGTGAAGGTCTGGCGGATGCCTCGTGCACGACAGTAGGCTCGCAGAAGGCCAGAGGAGAACTCTCCGCCTCTGTCAGAGTGCAGACGCAGAACAGGAAAGTCCGAGCCAAAGCTCCGCCTGAGCTGGAGACGAGCTGCGCGGATCCAGTCGATCAACACCTCAGTGACATCACCCTTGCTGCGCAAGGGGAAGACTGTGGTGTAACGCGAGTAGTCGTCAACCACCAGCAGGAAGTAGCGCTCGTGACCCTGTCCACGGACACGGGCCGGGCCCCACACGTCCATGTGAAGCGTCTGCAGCGGGGCCTCTGTCGGAGGAAACTGGGAGGAGTGAGGGGTAGCCCGCTGCCGTCCCTCGACACAGGGGACGCAGGTAGGGCCTGGCCCCGGAGGAAGGGGAGGGAGGGACCGGGGAAGACCAGAGACAAGGACACGGGAGGCCATGCTCCGGAGACGAAGCAGGGAGGGGTGGCCAAGGCGGTGGTGCCAGAGGAGAGTCTCGTGAGACAGGAGGCGACACGAGCAGGGGGCAGACTCAGGACCAGACCTGGACGCTGCAGCAAACACCTGACCCGACGCAGCTACCTGACCAGACGCAGGGACTGGAGGAGACGCAGTGGTCAGTGTGTACAGGCTCGACCCTGGCCGACGTGTAAACGTGGCCAGGTGGCGGCCTGTCCGAGCGTCCGTGCAGTGGGTCACCCGCTGACTCGCAGGAGTGAACTGGTGAACCCCCGCATCCTGTAGGTCAGCACCACTCACCAAGTTCGTAGAGAACGAGGGGAGGTAGAGACCAGACAGGGTGCCAGAGGGGGCCGCCGGACACGGGAGGACAGTGGAGAAGTGAGCAAGGACAGGACCCCCAGAGGGGTCTGCCAGGGAGACCGCAACTGGCCGGCCAAGCGGCGTGAGTGTGGTGCGGTCTCGAAAGAAGGAGCGAGAAGCCCCCGAGTCAAGTGTGAAGGTGTGGGAGGCCGAAGCCGACGCAGAACCTGAGAGAGCAGACTCACCAGCACCTGAGGGAGCAGACGCACCTAGAGCAGCAGCCTCGCTAGCACCTAGAGCAGCAGCCTCACCAGTACCTAGAGCAGCAGTCTCAATGCCCGGGTCGGGCGGAAAACACCGGTAACAGTCACCCTCATCACTAATAGTCACAGTATACACGGCAGCAAGAATAGCATCAAAGTCAAGGTCAAAGACAGCTACACCCGCCCTAGACAGCTCACCCCAGCGGGGGATCTCAGTGGCCTCAGGGAACTGGTGACGCCAAGCGTCCGTGAGGCGGCCAAAGCAGCGCTGGGTGGAGTGCGCACCCCCGCACTGCTCACCCGCGCGGTCGCCGGTGCGCAGGACGTAGGTGCACGGACCAGCACCCCCACCCCTCTGGCGTGCAGTGTACCACTCACGGAGCTGCTGAGGGGAGGGGACGTCACGAGTGCGCTGCTGCTGCTGCTGCTGCTGCTGGCGCTGACCACCACCGGAGCTGACCCTCTGCGCAGCGCCACCCCGACCAGCTCCACCTCCTCCGCCGCCTCCTCCTCCACCGCCGCCACCTCCGCTCCCTCCGCCACCGCCGCTGCCTCCTGCGCCTCCACTGCCGCCACCTACACCTCCACCCCCGCCACCACTCCCACCGCCACCCCCACCTCCTCCACCACCTCCACCGCCGCCTCCACCGCCCCCGCTAGCTCCTCCAGCGCCCCTGCCCCCCTTGCCCCTGCCAGGGCGGCGTCTCCCGCTAGGGGTAGACGCTGCCCCAACCGACTCCAAACCAGCGAGGTCGGCCGCAGCAGCAGAGGCAACAGAGGGCAAAAGAGGGGAGGGGGAACACCCCTCAAAGATGGGGGTGCGAGGGTCACCACGAGAGGCTCCTACAGCGACTATGCTCTTTTCTGCTGCTAGGAGGGCCTTCTCGAGGAGGTCAACGGTGAGAGTGGTGGGACAAACCGAGAGGAAGTGGTCCCTGACTACGCGAAGGGAGTCAGGGAGACGGGTGACTATGTAGTAGAGGGTGATGTACATGGGGGGGGGGGTTCTTGGCGCAGAACTCAGCAGGAAGCGCAGCGCGGTAGCGAGTGTCACTAGAGCGGAGGTGCGTAATGAGGTCAGCGACTATGGGAAAGGCAGCAAGGTCAGGGAAGAGGTACGGTAGCATGAGGCGGCTCAGTGCAGCAGTGGCAGGGGAGGAGTAGCGTGCAACTACAGCGTCGTACAAGGTCTGAGCACTCTTGTACTGGCTAAAGTGCGCACGCTCAGAGGTAGGGAGGTGGCGACGCACAGCAAGACGTGCAGCAGCATCGCGCGTGGCCCACTGTGAGCGAACGGTGGCGTCAGCATCAGCAGCGGGGGCAGGAGAGGCACCAGAAGTGAGGTCAAAGAGGGAGAGGCCGTCTGCTCTGTCGCACTGTAAGAAAAGCTGCAGGTCATCTATCCAGACGTCAAAGTCAATGGCCCGACCCTCAGCGTCAAAAGCGAGGACACTAGGGGTAGCCATGACAGCAGTAGACTAGCAGTGCAAACAGTAGGGCGAGGGCAGTGCTGTGAGAGAGGCGCTGCGCTTACCGGACAGGGCGGTTCGGGCGGCTCGGCTGCAGGGCGGCTCGGCGGCTCGGCGGCTGGGCGGCTCGGCGGCGGGGCGGCTCGGCTGCTGGGCAGGGCGGCTCGGCGGCTGGGCGGCTCGGCGGCTCGGCTGCTGGGCGGCTCGGCTGCTGGGCGGCTCGGCTGCTGGGCGGCTCGGCGGCTGGGCGGCTTGGCTGCTGGGCGGCTCGGCGGGGCCGCTGAGAGGGCGGCGTCCGGCGCCGCTGGGAGGAGGCGGCGGGGCCGCAAAGGTAAATGGCGGGGCCGCGGAGGTAGGTGGCGGGGCCGCACAGTGAGGTGGCGGGGCCGCGAAGGTAGGTGGCGGGGCCGCACAGGTAGGTGGCGGGGCCGCGGAGGTAGGTGGCGGGGCCGCACAGTGAGGTGGCGGGGCCGCGAAGGTAGGTGGCGGGGCCGCACAGGTAGGTGGCGGGGCCGCGGAGGTAGGTGGCGGGGCCGCACAGTGAGGTGGCGGGGCCGCGAAGGTAGGTGGCGGGGCCACACAGGTAGGTGGCGGGGCCGCACAGGTAGGTGGCGGGGCCGCGGAGGTAGGTGGCGGGGCCGCGGAGGTAGGTGGCGGGGCCGCACAGTGAGGTGGCGGGGCCGCGAAGGTAGGTGGCGGGGCCGCGGAGGTAGGTGGCGATGGGCGCGACGGGCGCGACGGGCGCGACGGGCGCGAAGAGCGCGACGGGCGCGACGGGCCGAAAGGGCGGCGCGACTCGGGCCGGCGCAAAACGCGCTCCGGGCAGGAAAAAAAATTTTCGTGGTGGTGGGCCCTAGGAATCGTTCCCACTAGGGAACCTGCTCGATACCATGAGAAGAAACGAGGAATGGAAAATGACTAAGTGAAAGTTGGGTACAAGAACCAAACCCTAGAAAACTGTACCCCATATGTGCTACCCCACTATAGCCTACAGTAGCTATGTCATATAAATCTGACAATCATTTGCACAAATACGCAGCACGTGACGCTTGTTTGCGCGTTTGATGTGCAAGGATAGGCATGTAGGCAACATGTCATCGTGAATTAGAAATGTATCATTGCTTAAAATAATGCTCGCAGATGTCTAACATAACCCAATACATGTATAAATTTATCTAGGCATCATTTACTAGAGCACACTTATAGTACAAACTGTATTTGATTCCACATTCAAAGTTTCCATTCAGTGTACTAATATTACGTTTATCCAAAGCCAACAGAGCAATTTCGGACGGGACCTAGAGCCAATGGGACACGCCAGCCCTGTTCCAGGCCTCCATGAATGGTACCGAAGCTGTGATGCTCCGCCGAAGCTGCCACCCTAGATGCTCAACCACTCGGGTGGTTTCCGAAGCTGCCAAGCTGGCTGCCCAAGCACTTTCGAGAGTTCCGAAGGTAATTGGGCTGATTTCGTTTCGACGCGACGCGTCCAAAGTATGTTTCCCCACTCATATCAATTTGTTGCTTTAGACATACTTCCGAAAACCCTACTTTTCGGGGGGCCCCATTTTTGGGATGTGGTACTACGCATGATCAAGCTCGTAAAAGTCGTGAAGCAAGGAAGAGAACAAAGAAACTGCGGGTGGGAAGGAATGTGTGATGCGCGAAATCACCAACGGTCACCCAGACTCCGCTTCGGTATGCACAGGGGAACAAGTGACTTCGCTTCGGTATGCACAGTGCGATTTTTATGGTAACCTGCGATTGGTTCCAGAGATGTGGAAACAGCATTCGAACGTAAATCATTGGTCGAGACATATTCAGGCTCCTTGCAGCACCAAATAGCAACATTTCGCGCATAGCTGTGCCAGACGAACAAGCCATCGACCATTGGTCTGGGTGCCAGACAAACATATTACATATTACAAATTTATTATACACAAAAGTGCAATGTTATAGTGGAGGGCACATTGGCTGAAATCACGGAAATCAATGGCGTCCTTAGTTCTGACAACTTCTATAGCCATTCCCGAAGGCTTCCCTTAGCGCATCGCTTCATAACGAGGCAGTGCCCCTGTACCAGTATCGCGTTAAGCTCATATAGAGCACGCGGTAGCCTGAAAGCCACTCGAAGGTCAACAGTCGCTAGAAGTCAATGGTCGTGACTGTTGACCGACCAGTAACCGTACTCGGAGGTCACGATGCAACTTGGTAACTGTCGAATAGAGCAATACTCGCGGTCACTGTAGCAATGCAATACAGTTAAATAAGGGAATGTACCTCTAAGAGTACATGGCTAGCTAGGATTGCTAGATAGGCTGTAGTGAGTTGCTCCTTAGAGAGTATAACACAGTTAGGGTTGCCTATTTGTACTGCCTTGTTTCATAAACTCATCATTCCGTTGCATTCTACTCTTGAGATGGTATCAGAGTAGGTTCGAGTTCCTTAGCCCTAGCCTAGCCCTAGACTAGCCCTAGCGCCCTCCGCGCCTTAGGGCCCTCCGCGCCCTCCGTGCCCTCCGCGCCCTCCGCACGTTCGTGCCCTCCGCGCCCTCCACGCACTCCGCACGTTAGTGTCCTCCGCGCCCTCAACGCGCCCACTGTCGCGTCCTCCCCCTGCCCGTCGCGTCGCCCCCCCCTCCCCTTCCCCTGCCCGTCGCGTCGCCTCCTCTCCCCCTTCCCGTCGCGTCGCCTCCCCTCCTCCTGCCCGTCGCGTTCGCCTCCCCTTCCCCTGCCCGTCGCGTCGCCTCCCTTCCCCCTGCCCGTCGCGTCGCCTCCCCTCCTCCTGCCCGTCGCGTTCGCCTCCCCTTCCCCTGCCCGTCGCGTCGCCTCCCTTCCCCCTGCCCGTCGCGTCGCCTCCCCTCCTCCTGCCCGTCGCGTTCGCCTCCCCTTCCCCTGCCCGTCGCGTCGCCTCCCTTCCCCCTGCCCGTCGCGTCGCCTCCCCTCCTCCTGCCCGTCGCGTTCGCCTCCCCTTCCCCTGCCCGTCGCGTCGCCTCCCTTCCCCCTGCCCGTCGCGTCGCCCTCCCCTCCACGCCCCTTCCCACCGTCGACAACCTCCTCCCCGCCCCTGTCCTACCGTCGCGCCCTCCTCCCCGCCCCTTCTCACCGTCGCGCCCTCCTCCCCACCCCTTCCTATCGTCGCGCACCCTCCTCCCCGCCCTCTCCTAACGTCGTGCGCCCTCCCCCCGAGCCCACCGTGCCCTCGCCCTCACCTAGGCTCGCGCCTCCGCGTTAGCCCGTTCCCACCCGCGATTGGCACGCGCCCGAACCCCACTACCGCCCTGCGCGCGGGGCCCTAGACAACTCTTTTGCCACTGGTCTCACCCTCAGCGGCTGGCAGCCGCTTTCTTTTGCCGGCCACCTAGGTTAGACCAGTGTTCCTGCTAGTTCCTCGCCCCTAGTGCATGTAGCTGGAGTTCCGCCGTTTCACGCCTAGACTAGGTCCCTCCGTGCTCCTAGCCTCTAGCTCCGCCGGTCTCACACCGCGCCACACCTGGGGCTCCTAGGCTTCCCTCCTCGTTCTTAGCTCCGCCTCCGCCGAGCTCCGGCCGCCTCTAGCATGGCCTCCGTTATGGAGTCCCGTCGCCTTCGTTTCGATGCGGAGGGACGCCCGATAGAGTTCGGTACCTGGCAGCGCCAGACCACGCGTTTCCTTACCTGCCAGCGTCAGGACGGCGCCACTCTGTGGGCCCACGCGTCTGGTGCCCTCAAGTCCCCCCCGTCCCCCGCCACCCTGCCGACCGCCTTGGAGCCGACTCCTACGGCCCAGGCGGACTACGAGCGTCGGGTCCTGGCACGGGACGTGTGGCTCTCTCGTGACGCTGCCGCCGCTCTCACGCTGTCGGAGCTTCTCCCCCCGACTGAGGCCGCCCACTTTGACAAGGTGGAGACAGCACAAGGGGTTTGGGATGCTATTGTTGCCCGCTATTCCACCACTTCCTCTGCCTCCCTCAGTCGCCTCCTCATGCCGTTCGTGTTTCCCGACCTAGGCTCGTTTGCGACTGTGTCCGACCTAGTGACTCACCTCCGCTCACTTGACGCTGGTTTCCGTGCGGCCTGTACCGAAGCCCAGCTTCTTGCTGCTCCCCCCCCCATGTGGCTCACTGTGCACTGGTTAGTCACCCGCCTCCCTGACCGCCTTACCACTGCTCGCGACTCGCTTCTCCAGAAGCACCCCACTGAGCTCACCATCGATCTCCTTGAGACTGCTCTCGGGACGATCGAAAGTAGTCTCCTCACCGTTGCCTCCGCCACTGGCGCAGTGGCCCCCCGTCTCTTTGCGGGGTGTGCCGCCCCTCAGCTTCCCACTTTCACTGCTACCCGCGCTTCTGCTGCTGTGTCGGTTTCTGAGGACACTGCTGCCGTTTCCGCCGCAGACTGGCAGAAACGGGGCAAGGGTGGCAAGAAGGGCGGGAAGGGGGGAGGTGGAGGCGGTGAGGCGGCGGCGGAGGTGGAGGTGGAGGTGGGAGCGGCGGCGGCGGTGGTGGAGGCGGCGGCGGCGGCGGCGGCGGTTGTGCCCCAGGAGGAGGGGGCTTTGGCGGAGGTGCAGGACAGACAGGCCCACCCACTGGTGGTGGCCCGACCGGCGGGGGTGTTGGCCCCCAGCAGCAGCAGCCACAGCAGCACCAGTCACAGCAGGGACAGCAGCAGCAGCAGGGACCGCAGCAGCAGCAGGCACTGCAGTAGTTCCAGCAGTGGGGGCCCCCACTGCAGTGGGGTCCGCAGCAGCACTGGGGTCCCCCGCCGCAGTGGGGTCCGGGAGGACCAGGGAGCACCGGCCGCAGCGGCAGCACTTCCAGCTGGGCCCCTCGCCCCCCTCGCCGTGACACTGGCCCCTGCACCCACTGGTGCCTCACCGGACCTGGCAGCCCCTGTCTCTGCGGTCGTGACGACCACTCTGCCGCGCGGTGCTTCCGCCGCCTCGACGACCTCTAGCGTGCTCGTTGGGGCCCTACGGCGACCACGCCTCGCTGGGCTCGCCTGTTAGCCCGTAAGATTGATGTGTTTGATCTGTCCATGGACGATGCTCGTCAGCATGCTTTGTATGCTGATGTTGACTATATTGCTGATGGATCTGTGTGCTCGCGTGTTCGTAGACTAGCTTGCTTTCCTCCTGCTAGTGTAGACTTGTGCCTTTCTAGTCTAGGTGCTTGTGTTGCTGCTCTAGGTGCTTGTGTAGCCACTAGGACAGGTGACCCTCCCGCTGAGGCGTCCTTGTCGTTCACGCTGGACTGTGGTGCGTCTCAGTGCTTCTTTCGCGACCACACGACCCTCACGCCACTCCTCACTCCTGTTTCGGTGGCTCTGGCTGATCCTACCTCAGGACCAGCCGTTGCGCGTAGCTCCACTACCCTCCCGTGTCCTGTGGTCCCCTCTGGTGTCCTGCGCGGCCTCCACATCCCCTCGTTCACTCGGAACTTGGTGGGTGTTGGTTACCTCCAGGACAGGGGGATCACGGTTACCTTTGTGGGGGGTGGGAGGACTGCGGTCTGTACAGACGCTGCCGCATTTGCTGTTCTGGCCACGTTCACCAGGGAGCCCCGCTCCGGTCTCTACGTTCTCCACACCGCGCGCTCCCCGGTTGCGTCCTCCGCTCAGGTCGTTGCGTCCCCTCCAGTCCAGGTGTCCAGTCCGGTTGCTTTGTCTAGCCAGGTAGTCGTGTCTTGTCCAGTTGCAGTGTCTAGTCAGGTCGCGCCGTCTAGTCCAGTCGCTGCGTCCTGCTCCTGTCGGTCCCTCACCCACCGGACCGTCTTGTGGCACCACCGCCTTGGCCACCCGTCGATCCCCCGCCTCCGCGGGATGACCACTTACGGGCTTGTCACCGGTCTCCCACGCACCTTTCCGTCGCTCCCCACCTCCCCTGCTCCCCCTTGCACTCCTTGCGTCGCCGGTCGCTTACGCGCCACTCCCCACTCCTCCTCCCTTCGTCCGGCCACTGCTCCCTTTGAGACCCTCCACTTGGACGTCTGGGGTTCTGGGAAGGAGCGTTACTTTCTGGTGGTTGTCGACGACTTCTCCAGGTACACCACAGTGTTCCCTCTCACGAAGAAGTCCGAGGTGACTGCTACGCTGATCCGGTGGCTTCTGGCTACTAAGGGCACTCGTGGTCGTCGTGTCAGTTGTCTACACTCCGACCGTGGGGGCGAGTTTTGCTCCGGCATTCTTAGCGGATTCTGCGGCGAACAGGGCATCGTACAGTCCTGGACGCTTCCGGAGTCCCCACAGCAGAATGGGGTTACTGAGCGCCGCATTGGCTTGGTCATGGACATTGCTCGCACGTCCATGATCCATGCCCATGCGCCCCATTTTCTGTGGCCCTACGTGGTTCGCTACGCCGCACACCAGCTGAACCTCCAGCCACGCGTCTCACGGCCCGAGGCTTCACCGACCAGTCTTTGGACCGGTTCCCCTGGTGTTGGGTCGGCCTTTCGTGTCTGGGGCTGCCTTGCGCTTGTTCGCGACACCTCCGCGGACAAGCTCTCGGCACGCGCCGTCCCCTGTGTCTTCCTTGGTTTCCCAGTGGACAGTGCCGACTGGTCCTTTTACCACCCGCCCCTCCACCAGTTCCTAGACTCCCGTGACGTCCGGTTTGACGAGTCTGTGTCTTACTACACCCGGTACCCCTGTCGAGGTCTCCCGGTACCCCCTCCCCCTCTTTTCCTCGCACCCTCTCCTCCTCCTGCTCCCGCTCCTCCGGTACCCCCGCCCCCCCCTGGTCCTGCCCCGTCTGGTGTGTCCCACACTACCCCTCTTCCTTCGGTCGCGCGTCCGGCCGCGTCTCCCTCCCCGCAGTCCTCCTCACAGTCCCCTCAGCAGCCTTCGGCACCTCCGCGACAGGTTACTGTGGACTCGGTTGGTGTGGGAGCTGGAGGTGCAGCCGCTGGCGGTCCTCGGTCTGGGGGTGCTCGTTCGAGGGGTGCTGGAGCTGGAGGTGCTGGCGCAGGTGGCGCTAGCTCTGGGGGTGCTGGAGCTGGAGGTCCTGGCACAGGAGGTGCTGGTTCTGGGTGTGCTGGAGCTGGAGGTGCTGGTTCTGGGGGTGCTGGTGCTGGAGGCGCTGGCACTGGAGGTGCTGGTTTTGAGGAGTCTGGGGCTGGAGACCCTGGTTCTGCGGAGTCCACTCCGCCTCCCCACCGCCACGACACGCGTTTCCAGGCGGCCCGTCGGCGTGAGCGTGAGGAGCAGGTGCTGTTGGAGAGGGAGCGGCAAGAGTTGCGGCAGCTGGACCTGCTGGAGCAGCAGCAGCAGCAGCAGCAGCAGCAGCAGCAGCGACGGCAGCAGCAGCAATAGCAGCCGCCGCCGCAGCAGCAGACACCACCGCCGCCGCCGCGACCACCGCAGCTCCCTCTGGAGCGGCAGTTGTTCTTACCCGTGAGTGGCCTACGGGCCCTTGGTCTTCCCTCCTCTCCTCCTGTTCACACTCCGTCCCCTCCAGCGTTTGGTCCCACGTTTCCTCCTCCTGACGACAGTCCGGCGGTCTGGTCTTCTCCTCCACCGCAGTCTCCTCCACCTGGTGTCCCACACTCTCGTGTCCGTCCCTGTCCTCCACGTGCTCGTCCCTCGTCCCCCGTTACCGACCTCCGCACTGCCCTCCTTTGTTCGTCTCTTCGTTGTCCTCCTCCTGAGTCCGTTCTCCCGTCTCCTCCTCCGTCCTCTCTCCCTTTCCCCCCTACTCCTGTCACTTACTACTACCGCACTGTTCGTCCTGTTGTCTCTCGTGTCCTCGCCACTCTTGTCACCACCTCTCGTTTCCCTCCGTCGTCTGTCTTGGCTCTCACTGCCGCTGTCGCTGAGTTTGCTGCCGCCAGTCGCCTTGACTACACCACCCGTGTGGTGCCAGCTCCTCCCTCCCGTCCTCTGTCCGTCGGGGGTGAGTTTGCCCTTAGCTGTGACGTCCTAGAGGACAGAGAGTCTGAGCTGGAGTACTGGGCAACTGCTTCTCCCTCTGTCTGTGCCATGCTGCTATCCCCTGAGGGAGACCCCGACGCCCTTGACATACCGACTCCTCGTACTTACCGCGAGGCAGTGTCAGGGGCGTGGGCCTCTCAGTGGAAAGCGGCTACGTCCTCGGAGTTAGCGTCTTGGAGATCCACAGGCACCTACGTCGACGCAGTTCCCCCTCCCAAGGCGAAAGTAGTCGATGGCATGTGGCTCTTCAAGCTGAAGCGGCC